GGGTAAGTTGCTCGAGAGAGAATTTACTCCCACTATAGTCTAACATAGTCACAAACACTCAACAATTTACTATCAAAAGCATGTACTCGATAGTCTACTTTATCCCATATTCCTATAACATCCCAAGAATCCCGTCTTCATATCTCATTTCCTTATATTTTGCTCTTTTTAGTTGTTAGCTAATACAAACCACCATTGATAATTGAAACGTGCATCACCTCTTAGATTTAGTATGTTTATATTCGATAATGTTTATAGCTATGACTAATTAGAACTAAATTTTATATTTCTATTAATTCTCAAAATCACTCCCTATTAGAACGATCCCAACCCTTGGTTGGGTTATATCACTACACACGATCGTTTGGTACTAGAACCGAAATAGTGTCAGTTGATTACGTCGAACAGCACTTCCCACTTCTATAAAGGAATGGCTATATCCTGGACTAGCCAAGTAGGCTTCTAGTGCTTAACCTTCACTTGTTGGCAGTTAGGACAGTGTGCCACAAACTCAGCAACATCCTTCTTCATCCCGTGCCACCAATATATCTCTTTAATATCATGGTACATATTCGTCGATCCTAGGTGATACAATATCAGGAATGATGTGCCTCTGCCATAATCTGTTGTCGAAGTCGTACGACATTTGGAACACACAATCGACCTCTATGTCTGAGCACTCCATCTCCTGCTATATCAAAGGCTAACGACTCCTTATCATGAACTTTGCCTCTGAGATGCTCTAAGTAGGGATCCCCATGTTGTCGTGCCTTCACTTACACGATTAAAGATGATATAATTGAGTTTTGAACTATAATCCCACTATCACTTGCCTCTTCTAGTCTGACTCCCAAGTTGGCTAATTGATGAAGTTCTCAAGCTAATTCACGCCTCTCAACACCTAAATATGATAAACTTCCCATTACCCTATGACTGTGGGTTTCAACTACCATATTTGTTTTCCCTGGATGATATAAAATATCTACGTCATAGTCTTTCAGTAACTCAAGCCATCGACGTTGTTGAAGATTCAATTCCTTCTGTCTAAAGATATACTGAAGACTCTTATGATCTGTGAAAATTTCCACATGAATTCCATATAGATAGTGTCTCCAGATCTTCAGTGTATGCACAACAGCAGCCAACTCTAAATCGTGAGTTGGGTAGTTCTTCTCATGCTTCCTCAACTGCCTTGAAGCATATGTGATCACCTTACCATGTTTCATTAGTACACATCCTAACCCAATATTAGAAGCATCGCAGTACATTGATAGCCCTCTGAACCCTCTGGCAAGGCTAGGACTGGTGCTGATGTCAACCTGTCCTTCAGCTCCCGGAAACTATGCTCGCACGCCTCAGTCCACTAAAACTTAACTGCTTTCTGAGTCAGATTTGTTAGTGGTGCTGAAAGGGAAGAAAATCTCTCTACAAACCTTCTGTAGTACCATACTAACCCTAAAAAACTACGAACCTATGTCAGAGTTATGGGTCTAGGCCAAGTCTTCACGGCCTTATCTTCTGTGTGTCAACCATAATTGTCGCATCTGATACAATATGGCCTAAGAAAGCCGCAAAGCTTAACCAGAACTCACACTTAGAGAACTTTGCGTAAAGTTCCTGCTCTCGAAGAACCTGAAGGACTACTCGCAAATGATCTGCATGCTCAGCTTTTGAATGCGAATACACCAAAATATAATCAATAAATACAATCACAAACATGTATAAATACAGCCTGAATATGCTATTCATCATGTCCATTAACACTGTCGGGGTATTGGTCAATCCAAAAGACATCACCAAAAACTCAAAATGCCCATATCTAGTTTTTAAAGTTGTCTTCGGAATATCTTCTCCCGAACTCGTACTTGATGGTACCCCGATCTCAAATCAATCGTTGAGATATACGTAGCACCTTGTAGTTGATCAAACAAGTCATCGATCCTCGGAAGTGGATACCTATTCTTTATAGTAGCCTTGTTCAGTTGTCGATAATCGATACACATCATCAATGAGCTATATTTTTTCTCACAAATAATACTGGTGCACCCCATGGTAAAGCACTGGACCTGATAAAGCCTTTATCCAACAAATCTTTCAACTGATCCTTCAACTCATTTAGATCAACATGAGCCACTCTATAAGGAGGAATAGATATGGGTTATGTACCTGGTAGCATATCAATAGCAAAATAAATTTCCCATTCTGGAGGGATACTAGGAAGATCATCTGGAAATACATCTGGAAACTCATTAACCACCAGAACAGATGGGAGAATCGGTGGTTCTACATCCATATTCCGAACTCAAACAAGATGATAAATGCAACCCTTAGTAATCAACCTTCTTGCCTTGTGATAGGAAATAAACCAACTTTTCGGCACTGTTGTATTACCTTTCCATTCTCGCACTGCCTCTCCTAGAAAATAAAATCTAACATTCTTTTTCCAGCACTCAACATTAGCATAACAAGACGCTAGCCAGTCTATACCCATAATGTATCAAAATCGACTAGCTCTAACTCTACCAAGTCTACAGAGGTTTGACAGTGGATAATTTCTACTGTGCAACCTTGGTAGACTCTATTGGCAATATAGACTCACCAACTAGTGTAGACACAATGAAGGGTTAATGTAATGACTCTGCTTCTATACACAACTTCCCCGCAATAAATAGAGCCAGGATCTATCAAAGCATAAACACAATGAGAACAAACAATCAGTGTACCTATCACAATGTCAGGTGATGACTGTCACAATGTCCGGTGATGACTCTGAGTCCTGTCGGTTAGCTAGTGCATACACACGCTTCTGGCCACTACCAGAACTAGATGCTCCCCCTCTACCTCTACCTCTACCTACTAAAGTCTAAGGTCCATGCCCCGCAGAATGTGCTGATGAGGAAGAACCTACTACTGACCCAGTCGACTCACCCATACCACCCTGACCTATGGTCGGGAAATTTATCCACACATGCCCATCCTTCCCACAAGAATAACAACCTATGGAACCCTGTATACATCTCCTAAAATGCATCCTACCTTATGTAGCATAACGCGGCGGGCCTGACCTGGCCTGGCTTGAACTCATCTGTTGTTGGGAGCCTAATGCTTGTGAACCCTCACCTGGACCTGACTGTCCGTGACAATCAAGTCTACTATTTTTGAAATGCGGTAGTGGAGGTTTGGATGGCCTACTATGATATCTAGGTCTAGGACCACCGTGAAAATCTCCTTGTGAACTAGCAAGCCTTGCCCTCTTCTACTTCTCTCTATCTACCCTCTCCCTCATATACTGTTGATCCCGATGTTCTTCTATGCTTTGTGAAAAGGCCGGAATTCACAAGATATCCATATTATCATTTAGGGCAGCGGTAGTGCAAACATATATATGGTCTAAATCAAGCCCTCCCACAAATCTCCGCACCCGTTCATGCATCGTATCAACAAAAGCTGGTGCATACCTAGCCAATGAATCAAATATCAGGCAATACTCTCGGACACTCATGCTTCCCTGTCGAAGGTTTAGATCCATAAAAGCTTCAGTAAAGCTATCCCAAGAGGGTGGAGGTCCATCCTTCCCCCTGGATCTCTTCCAAATCTCGTACCATAATACTGCAACATTATG